GAGGGAGCCGTTAGGGCGGGCGGAAAGTTGTGTGGAGAAAAAGCGCGGGGCCCCCTCCGGGGAAGGGGGAGGGGGAAGAAAAGAGCCCGGAAACGCTTCGTTCTTCTTTAAATAAAAAATAAAATAAAATAAAAAAAAATTAAACTCTTTCGCACTTCTGGTTTCCACACGTGTGTTGTCTAAAATTATCTCTTTTCGCTGCCTTTTGGGTTTTTTTTTAGTCAGGGAGGGCAGATTTAACGCGTAATACGGGTTTTTTTTTTCCCCTCACCGTTACTCCACATCTCCTTGAAACCCTCTTTGTTTAAACATCCCAGTCTTTTTTATTTTCTTGCCGCTGACCACTGGAATGTTTTTGGGTTTTTTGTTTTGTTTTTTTGTTTTTCTCGTCTGGCGTATAGGAAATGAAAGAAAAGAAGGAAAAACTTGAGGAGAAAACGGTCCACAAAGAAAAGAAGAAGGAAGCAGTTGAGGTGAGACCCTTCTGGGGGATGGATTTGGAGGTGTCAGGGAGGGGCGGTCAGCCTGGCTCTCTGTGGGTAACGAGAATGAAGGGGATACGGGAAAGCCAGGGAGGGACTTTTGACAAGGGCAGGGAGTGACAGGACAAGGGGTGATGGCTTTAAACTGGCAGAGGGGAGACTGAGATGAGATACGAGGAAGAAATTGTTTCCTGTGAGGGTGGTGAGACACTGGCACAGGTTGCCCAGAGAAGCTGTGGCTGCCCCCTCCCTGGAAGTGTTCAAGGCCAGGTTGGATGAGGCTTTGAGCAACCTGGTCTAGTGGAAGGTGTCCCTGCTGATGGCACGGGGGTTGGAACTGGATGAGCTTTAAGGTCCCTTCCAACCCAGACCATTCTGTGATTCTATGAATATTATGGGAGATAAAGGAAGAGGACAGGCCAGGGGAGCTTATAATGGAGAGGGGCAAATTAAGAACAAGCTATAGGACAGTTGTGGAGAATGAACCTTGAAAGTCCTAGCCTAGGCAGCACAGTCCAGTGAAAAGAAAAAAAGGTCGAAGAAGGGAATGGAGAGAAGGGCAAGTAGGAGTTGGGAGGAAGGTGGCACAGGAGGTGTTGTCGTGTGCCTGGTGAAGTATCCCCAGGTGCATAAGGAGCAGAAGTTGAAGGTGGTGGGAGGAAGAGTGAGGAAATGCAGAAATGGATGAAGGTCAGAAGGGATCTGGAAGCAGATGTACCACAAGCATAGGCTAAACAGCAGCTTGACATGATGTAAGCATGTGGAAGTCAAGGAGGTTCACATTGGTGGGGAGGGACTGGACAGATTGGTTTTGGAAAGCAAGCTGGCTGGGAGGAGGGTTTCAACTGGGATGGTGGGAATGACAGTGAGTAGCAGTGCAGAGGTCACTCGATGGATGTCTGAAGTGGCTGGAGCTGTGGAGACTGTTCTTGCACTTGAAGCAAAGAGCACATGGGAATGTCATCCTGATGCCAGTTTCTGCTCTGACCAATTTGTTCCACTCAGGATGAGGAAAATGGAGCTGAAGAGGATGAGGAAGAGAACCCTGATGATGTGGATGAAGAAGAAGGTGGTGATGAGGATGAAGGTAAGAATAATTGGTATAGGGAGAATGGGAGGAATCAGGCTATGGAGGGAATAGAAGGTCATGGAGGGAAATTCCTCCTCTGAGCCCTCTGACTGTGAGATGACATTCCCTTAAATGCCACTTCAATTAAACTGTGATTTCCTCTGTTGCTTAGAAGGAGACGAGAATGGGCAAGAGCAGGATGGTCATGCAGAAAAACGATCTGCAGACGAGGAAGAGGTGAGTGATGGTGTGAGAGTAATGGCAGGGAGAAGGAAATATGTTTCCTGCTGTGTGCTGATCAAATCTGCCTGGATGCTGTTGGTCAGCATCTCAAATTGGCCTCGGGTCTCGAACAAACAAAACTGATGTGGCAAGGGGATCAGAAACCCCTGCAGACTCCTTGTAGGAGCCAGGTCCTTCCACTAGCAGTCATGGTGCTGAGTGTTTGAGAATCAAGGTGCTTGAGATTGTGCTGAGCCATGACCCCTCCAACACCTGTGACTTCTGGGCTTCAGGCCAGAAGATGGACTTGCAAGGGCAGATCTCGAAGTCTGAAGTGATGTGAGCTGGGCTTATTTTACCTCCCAAAAGTGGCAGTGTGGATATCCTTCCAAATGGAGCTGTCCACATCTTGACTGTGACTGTCAGCAGAACAGTTGTGTCAGGTGCTCAAAGATCCTTTCAAGAGGAGTGGATTTAAGGTGGGCCAAATAGATTTCCATGTGGAGGAAAGAGCAGCAGTAAGAATTCTGTGGAGAAGTTATGTGCCTTGGTGTGGTGACTGTTTGATGGTGACTCCTTTTTTTCCTCTCTGTGTCCTATGTAGGATGAAGTGGATCCAAAGAGACAGAAGACAGAAAATGGGTCTTCAGCTTGAGTCCTCCCCTCCCATCTCCTCTGTTCCGTCCATCTCTCCTCCTCCATTCCAGCCTGTGCTTGCACTGTCCATTAGCCTCTGGCTTCACACAATCTCAGATGAGGAAAGATTAGGAATGCTCTCAAACAGGGAAGACAGCAGTTTCCTTCTCGCCCAAAGATCTAGCCCATCTGTGACATTCCCCAGCTGAAATTATTCCAGTGCCCCACATCCTTTCAGCTGTGCCCCATTTACAGATTATCCTCTTCCCTCAAGAATCTCATGGTTTCCTGGAGCCCAGTATGTAACCTTGCCAGGCTTGCATGCCAGGCTCTTCACGTGGCAGGCACCTCTCCTTCCCTTTTCACTTGCCCTCCTTTCTTTTTGCCACTAGTATGACTGAGATTCTTGACAGCTTCTGCTCCCAAGACCTGCTGTCAGATGTCCTCTCAGAGTCCAGGAGGCTGTGGGCACAGATCTCATGGTGCATTTTCCAGTCCTAGGCCTCCTCTTATCTGCTTTCCCCTCAAACCCTGAGAGACAAAGAAAAAGAATATTCCAAGCAAATAATGGTTCTATTAAACCGCACACATGGAGACAGAATTTAAACTTTTTTTTTTCCAAGTTTACATGACAGCAAGCTGGCCCTCGTGAATTTTTCAGAAGATAAGGGTTGTTTTTATATATGAATTTCATCTGAACTGCATATTTTTTTTTAATTTGGAGGCTTTTTTAAAACAAATCAAGAGAAACAATTGGGGACCAAACTTTGATTTCCATTTTTTTTCCCTTCAGATTTTCTTGTGACCATTTTTTGTAAATTAAAGGCAATATGGCCACAGCATTTTCTATGGCACAGACATCACGAGGATGATAGATATAAATATATATATTGTTTTCAACTAGCACTGTAAATAAAAGCGTTTTAAAAGATTTCAAACTTGTGTGGACGGTTCTGTCTGTATATCTTGGGTAGAAGTACATCGGTAGAAGTTGGTTTGTGGAAAGATGGGGTGGCTTGACCAGCAGCAGGTAGAACTGGGAGCCCTGAGTTAGTGGAAAGACCCATGTTAGTGATTCGAGTGGCTCCTGCGTGGTGGAGACCCATGTGTGGGTTCTGCTCCACCTGATGCACTGCTCCAGCTGCCTGGGAGAGGTCCATCAAGCATTTGTCTCTTCATCTTTGCAGCCCGTTAAAGCTGCTGTTAGCCTTTTTAAATTTGTTCTTTGGCAATTGTGCCATGAGCTGCGGGACCGTCAGCTGTAAATAATACCAACTTTTGGCTGAGCAACAGCGGCTTTGTGCTTGTCCAACTCCAGCAACAGAACAGATACTGGAAGCACAGAGAGGTGCTTGTGTCCAGAGGGGCAAAGCATCAACCATCATTTTCTCCCAATGTCCGTGTTGGTGTAAGCAGGACAGCTGCTGCCGAGCCCCTGCCCTCCTGCAAATGTCTTTTGGTGTCACTTTTGCATTTTTTGTATTCCTAGTGTTGCTCCATTTTAAAAAATGATGGATTCTAGTCTCTCTTCAAGATACTTTCACATTGGAGCAAGTCCTCAGGACTCCCCCAAAACTTTCTGCTGACCAGTCACTTTTTACTGTCTGGTACTGAAGATACATTATTAATGAATGATACAATCTGCAGAGGCTGATTACAGTTTTCGCTCTTCCTCCCCACGACTGCTGCAGTGCCTGACTATGAGTAGTGAAGAATACACTTGCCAATGAGAAGTTATGGAGAAATAACTCCATCTCTGCTTTCTATGTGGGTGCAACACCAGTAGCTCTGGTTTTATCCAGCCAGCCATTGAGAAGGAAGTGGGGCAGCACCTGATTGTTAGGCCAGCAATAGCACTGTGGGCAGCCAGCCCTCATTTCCTCCGAGGGAAACACTGCAGGACAGAGGGCAGCAACAAAGGGCTGCCAGCCAGCTTCCCCATGTCTCTATGGACTCCTTGACTCCACAGCTTCTACTGCTTCTTCCATCTTATTCAGTTTTCTTGAGCACCCTTGTCACCGTCTACGGATAGTTAGAAGATAGAGCCACAGATACAGAAATAGAAGAATATCTGCTTTGGTATCTTTTTCATCTCAGCGACCTGTGGGACATCATCACTGACTTCAGGTGAGGACTACAGATAAGATAATGGAAAATAGCAGGTTTTTTCCCTTTCCTTCGATCTGCAAAGATCCGTGCTGCATCTGGTGGTATTTTAGGTGATCACAGTAAGAAATTGTATAGATTTCCAGAAAAAGTCAAGCTTACAGTGTTCTACACTGCACTTCATCTCAAGTCTGCCTGTGTGCTTGGTTTTCGTCCAAACTTGAAGGTGCTTTTTATCTTTCAGTCTAATTCTTCTTCCACAGAGAGATCAATGGTGTTGTGCCGATGTCATCAAGATAAGAACAAAACCCATCTTCACCAGTGGTTCCTCAGAAGTAATGATGCCATTCAGGGGCCTTATTCACCTTTCTTGGCTCTGTGCTAATTCCCCACTCATCAAATTTCATTCCTGTGACCATCTGTTAACCTCATCAGCTGGGGGCAGAACTCCCTCAACGCTATGGGTTTGACAAAAGTTACACTAGAAGTCAGTGCATACTGGGATTGAACTGCAAGAGATTGCACAGAGTATGTGCCAGCTGAACCTGTCTCTTCTTCAGGTCTTACCAATGGGTCAAGTGTGATGGTAGATCTTACCTTAGTTTTCAATAAGCCTGCAACAAAATCCTCAGTGCTTTCAGCCAAGAGAGGTTTTGATGTCAGGAGGCCTTTCCTAAACCTGTGCTGAAACCCTAACCTCTCCTAGGGGGACAGGCTGAGATAGCTGGGGCTGTTCAGCCTGGAGAAGAGAAGGCTCCAGGGAGACCTTATTGCACCTTTCAATATTTGAAGGGGCCTATAAAAAGATTGGGACAGACTTTTTATCAGGGCCTGTAGTGATAGGACAAGGGGTGATGGTTTTAAACTAAAAGAGGGGAGATTTAGCCTAGATCTAAGCCAGACATTTTTTCCAATGAGGGTGGTGAAACCCTGTCCCAGGTTGCCCAGAGAGGTGGTAGAAGCCCCATCCCTGGAAACATTCAAGGTCAGGTTGAAAAACTCTGAGCAACCTGATGTAGTTGAAGATGTCCCTGCTCACTGCAGGGGGCTGGACAAGGTGACCTTTGGGGATACCTTGCAATCCAAACCATTATTCTATGATTCTACAAGCGACGTGCATGCTCCAATCACAGTATTGTTAGAGCTCCCAAGGAGATGTCTGGTGCTCATGGTCCCTTCCTTGCTTCCACTGGCACCTGTTCCAAGCTTCTAGCAGCTCTGGTCCTGCCAGCTGAGCGGCACCAGAGATTTCCTTCTTTCTCATCCTCCTCTGGGGCTACTTGCTTTGAGAGAGTTGTGGAGGTGGCTCAGTTGTGCTTTTGCAGACTCTGGTAGACTTTCCTCTAGACTGACAATTTCTGCTTCTGATGAACCTTTTGTGTGGTTTAGAAAAGCAAATGCAGACGCCAGTGTAAAGAGCAGGTAGAGCCACCGACCAGGTCTTAGCTGGGTCCCTGTCCTAGCTTGGATGAGCAAGTGACCCCTTCTCCCTGGTTGGTTGGATCACTGGATGGTTGGGACCTGGACCCACCGGAGCAGCAAGCTTGCCATGTGAAGGCTGTGGCTGTGGTGGGGGTGCTAAGCCTGCCAGGACAGCACCAGTGGGATGTGAGCTGCTCCTTGTTGCTCGACTGTGCAGGCGCAGCCTTCTGAAGAGGACAGCTCTGGCTGTGGTGGTGAGCTGCAGATGGCATGTGAGAGGAGGGAACTGAAATCTATGTTGATTGAATAAAAGCAGGTAACACTTCTGGTTAAGCAGAGCAACCTGACCTAGCTTTGGAGTCAGCTCTGGTGCAACCAACGAGGTTGGGATAGAGATCTCCAGAGGTCTCTTCCTATCTACATCTTGCTATATGAAGAAATAAAGACCTGCCATGGAAAGTTTGAGCTGAGTCTGAAGATACTTTGAAGTGCTGAGCCCAGAAACGAATGTTCTTTCCATCTTATAGCTGTCACCTCCTCATTTCCCCCTTAGGCAAATGATCCCTTCCACCCTGCCTCTTTGGCCTTTCACACTAGTTTTAAGCCAATAAGTGAAACAAGACCAGTGTAATCAGAACCATGGCACAGGCAAAATCGTGAACCCTCCTTCAGACCTGGAAAAAGTGAGCCCTCCAGGCACCGCTGTGCTGGGAGGAAAACCCTTCTTTCTTCAGGAAAGTCCATAATCACCCTGTTGTATTAGCTTTAAAAAAATAGTGAGGGTGAATTACTGGTCTCCAGTACCCCTTCCTCTGGGATCAGGGGCTTCTTTAGGCCCTCCAGTTAGGAGACACATTGCTCAACCGCTTCACATATGCCATATGGGAAACAGAAACGACTTGCCTTCCCAGATCCTTAAGAAGCCCATGTACTTTTCCCTCCCACCTCTCTCCCTTATTTGAAGAGCAGAGTCAAAGACAGACATGCTCATGGCTCAGCCAGTCTGTGTTTTCTCAGGGAAGAAGCTTGTGTTTATGTGTGTGGGCTCAGACCGGGGACATAGCGCAGATGGACAGGGCTGGAGCGCTGCGTATCAGTGGATGAGCTTAGGGTTTGTTTCCTGGTGAGCTCTTATGGTTTTAACAAAATATGGACAGTCATGGGGGTGAGGAGAGACCTAAGGCATCAGTATTCAAGGGTCTCAGCCACACAAGATGGTTTATGGACCAAGTGTGGTGCCATCAGCTACAGCTTTGCTCTTGTGGGAGGCGTTTTCTATCAGACACAGAAGAGGATGCTTTCCCATCTCAGGCTGTTCGGGAAGCCTGAGTCCCAGCTGGAAGTATCTGTGCACAACGGTAGATACTTAGCTGAGCTTCAGAGAACTGGGATATCAAGGCAGACAAGCTTCACCTTGTCAGGTGTACCTGTGCAGGCAGGTTATGGCAGATGACTAGGTGACTTGCTGCAAGTTACCCATTAAATGAGACAGAAGAGCATGCGACCCATGTATGTGCTGTGGGTGATATCCAGCTGATGCTACTTGTCATCAGGGGGCTGTAGGAGTCACACTTTCTACACATCTCCAGCTTTTTTTATAATGACATTTATTGTTCCCATTCTCTACCATGTATCTTAAACACTTGGTCTCAACAAGTCCAGCTGAATGTTCCCAATGTCCTAGTGGGGTTCAGGGTGCTTTATTCTCAATTTAGTCACTTAATCCATGAAGTGGTATTATAATATCAGCAGGGTGGTTGGCTACATGTCCTGCAATGAAGAATCTTGTCCCTAAGGGGCTTCAGGCATCCAACGTGGAAGATCCTAAAACCACTAAAGGCTGTAAGATGTAGCAAAAATAGTCAGCTTCCAGAGCTCTGTGATTACATATGTATGCCAGTACCTCTCTGGCAGCTCAGGTAGAGTCACATCTTAGACTTTCACAGGTCTTACAGCAACTCATCCATCATTTTAGGATGATTTTATTGGGCTGCATAATTTGTAATCAAAATTTTCAAAGACTGCTGCTTTCACTTTTGCTTTTACTTCCAAGAGTGAAAAGCTTACTTACCTGAAGCATTCTCCAGCATCTTTTCTGCTGTTGCACATCCAGATGACTTCACAAAAGGGTCTTTGCTGGATGGCACTCCACAAGCATGAACTTAGGTAGTGCTCTATTAAGCTCATCCATAAGCACACCAAAATCCCACCTGAAAACTTAGAGCTGGATGCTGTTTTCCTGTGTGAAATAGTTTATTAAATGGTACTTCTAAATTTTTCCTGTGTCAGATCCAGACTTGAAAACAGCTGAAGCTGTTGTATATGGCTCCAACAAACCTCCTGTGCTTCCAGGAGAGCAGCATGGTAGATGTGGACCCAGATTTGAGCTGGGAATTTGCTAGTTCTCCAC